CAGAACTTCATAGTAAAATAATAATAAAATAATAATAAAAATAACAGGATCCTGAGTAGGATCCTGTCAGAGAAATCTAGGATGCTTCAATTTATTATTATTTTCCAACGATCAATATTGGTAAAAATGTTCAATACTCACACATTCAAGATGCATTAATATTAGCATGTTTGATGAACAACACAAGTATGAACTATTACCCAACTTGTTGAAGAACTAATAGACTTTGCTACAAATCCACTCACATGGTAATGCAATGTAACTTGTCTCGAATTGTAAGGAGTAAATCAGATTCCTCCCTGAAATGGATTATCCCAGAGCCTTGCATACATAGCTATTAAAAACGTAGAAAGTCTACTGGTAACAGCAAAAATAGGTACGCTAAGCGTACATGTATCTGCTCATGGTGATTGCACCGTTGCCAAGGGCTTCAATCAACACTCAGTAGCTTGTAAAAAATTTTAAGGGACTGATGTTTAACAGTTGACTAGTTAAATAAAGTTAGATTTATAGTATGTCAGATGAAAGATAAATAAAATGGCTGATATATATTCAACTTGCAGAAACAAATTCCGGCCATAACTTCACAAAGATGATATTAAATTTTATGATGTTCTTGTTGAATCATCTTAGTTTCATAATTTTCTTGCAGGGATGGATCCAGCATGATCTGATAGGGGGGAGTGCTCTGCCCACTCTGGTGCCCAGTTGTGTCGGCATGTGTGCTGCCCACCCATAAACTTGCTTCGCTATTGCAAAGTCTTGCTTGACTACAGTATTTGAATTGTAATTGTTGTTCACAGTTCGCCTATCATCATATTATTACTCAAATTTCTGTATCTCATTTTGTCTCTAATAATTTTTGCTTATCATGAAAAATAGGACACCCCTCCTGCACCCCCTCTGGCTAAGGCTAGGGGGGGGGTGCACACCCCCTGCAACTCCCCCAGTAAATCCATCTCTGTGTTCTTGTTGAAACATTTCGGGTTCAAATCTTCTTGATAGTTCATAATAAACTTTAGCAGGCATGCAAGAACGTTGTAGATGCATAGAAGTTGTCAGGTAACAGGTGGTGCCAATATACATTTGCAGAGTTTTGAAAGCCTTTTTATACCATAATTGATACATAACATCAACATTTCTGCTGTTTATAATTGATCTATTTCATTTTAGAAAATGTTATAGTCAGGGTTCATGGCACACAAATCGACTGTTTATGCCTAGTAAATATATCAAATAAGTCGTATATTGAAAGTCATTCATCAGCAACAAATGATGACAAGTATGGAAATTAGAAGTATAATCGATGCATATAGTTCTTGAATAGAATGATATAATTTAGCATACCAGATCCATGCAATAATATTTTGTTGTGGAAGAAAATCCACTAAACAGAATATTATGTTAGTTTTGTACATTTTGTGCTATAAATAAGATCCCATTATTACATATGGTTGTTGTTGATTATAAGACAATATAGTATGGGATAGGTGAAGGGGGATATAAATTGCTTGCCTGGTGTTCTTGGCAATGACATTCAGTTGCAGAAATCAGGGTGGGTGAAGAAGGGAGCACCCCCTCCAAGATATATAGTTATATGCTGCAAGTTGATAATTATGACTGGTTGCAACTGTTACTATAAGTATTTATATTCCAATCTAAAACTGAATCTCTGCTCTTTATGCAGCCACTATTACTTTGGCTTTTCTTTAATGAAAGGAATTATTCAATGCACATACTGCTATAAAGTGCTTTAAGAGAAATGTTTCCAATATGTGTGAGTTAGCATCTGACTCTGCTAAATTTGTATAAAAATGATCTATCAAAATCTGTTATGAAAGCAGACACCAATTGTCTATAGTTATGATCATTGATAAAGAAATTATGTAACCTTATGAAATTATATAGCCTTCTATTGGTTTCATTCAACTAATTTATGTTAACTAAAGTCACCAATGAAAATGTTAATTAAATTGAGAAGTACATAAACATCAACACGTACAACTCGATATACACCTACAATGGCAACATCTGGAAGAATCATTACTTTCATAGTTTCATTATAGTATTCTCACTATTCTCAATGCCATTAGTCAATCAATAATTTTCTTGTCAAAACTTGCGAATCATTTCGTTTCCACTGCGTATTAAATGATGAAATCCTTCAAATGCTTGCCAAAAATGCACTATCAACATTTGCCATATTCAGACTAGTAAAATGACATTGTTTTAAACTGCGTTTGATGTATAATTTGAATCGTAAATTCACAAATTGCCTTTTGTTTCACCCTTCAGTAAACCGCCATTTTGAAATTAGTATCATTACGTCATTTCATCTATATGCTGTCGTTGATTGGTTATGAGCACGCTTACAAACTTCCGGTACGTGCACAATGGCAATATGTCTGCTTCCGCAGATACAAAAATATTCAGTACAACACCTCTCACTCCACCGAGCAGCAAGTTCTTCTTAAGGACCATCGCTTCTAACCAATTAACCTGCCGAGAATCCTTTTTTCACTAATATTAAAAAGTTCTCTTTCCCAACGGACGTAGCCTGCGTAGCAGGTGTTTAGTGCGGGCGGGAGAAGAAAGAGCGTCGTTAAATAAACGTCTGCCCAAATGCCTATGATTAATTTTGTTCTTCTCCAAAGAATCTTTGGAAAAGCTTCCCATTGGTTACCCTGGATTCCAGAGCCTTCGACAGTAAATAATAAATTGAAATGTCGCGAAGGCTCTGGTTCAACGGGGCGATTCTTTGATTAAACCGTGCCAATCACAAAACAGAATCAGTGGTTTTAGTACAGATTCTGTACTAAAACCACTAATTCTGTTTTGTGATTGGCGCGGCTTAATCAAAGAATCACCCCGTTGAACCAGAGCCTTCGCGACATTTCAATTTATTATTTACTGTCGAAGGCTCTGGAATCCAGGGTACCCATTGGTTAATCTTGTTAACAGAAGTAATTACGTAACTCAAATGTCAACAATAATTTTGCTCGCATTTATAGTCGCGTATCAAAAATATGCCGCCTGTTAATGCTTTCGAGGAAACTTTCTTATATTTCAAGTATTTAGGCTTCGAAATTCAGTTGAACCAGAACAGAGAAAGTATATTATTAATTTGATATGTGGTGAAGACGCCAGTTATCACGATTCTTCCTAAGGAATACGGAAAAGTTTGATCTTTCAATTATACATTTTAAATATATCCTGAATATTTCTTTAATATAGTTGTCTTGTTATTTGTTCACTTTAAAGTATAATTCAAGACCAGATAGTTGAGGCTATATCACTTGGCATTGCAGCTATGAGGTTGGATGATGATTTTAAGAATAACATTTCAAAACATGCTAACTGTTATATTTGCTACGGCAGAATATGTTAAACAACCGTGATTCAGGAGTCTTTTAAAAGATAAAAGCTCTGTGCACGTTGTGACTGACTGTTTCTAAAATAGCTTCAAAAACTCATCAATAATTCATGAGGAAAACACAAAGAAAAATCATAAACATGTCGTATCCTTGATATGTGATAGAGATTTCCCTTGATTTACATAAATTTTAATGATGTTCTCTACATATACACACCAATTTTTTTGAAAGCTACTTCACCAATGAACGTATACTAGATTGATCGTTTTTGAAGCAATTTAAAACATTTGCAGTGTGTGTTTTATCAGACCATCTTTATATCTGATAAAACACTGCTGCTCATGTTTTAAATAGTTGATAAAATCTCTGCAAATCTCCGCAGTTGCCGAGCAAAAAGCATGCATGATGCTAAATATAAATCTCGACTATGATTGGATAATGGGTGAAGGTGCTAATTACAAAACGTCAATCATCCTTAATGGGCGAAAACAAATTTGTCATAGCCATTTGGGCAGGCATTTCCTCTGTACCCGCCTGTCAGCTAAACGCCTGGTACGCAGGCTACAACGGACGAACATTTGATCTCTTCCCATTCACGAAAACCTTGCAAGATGGGGAACATCAACTGTATTTCTGACTGATTTTATTGTCTAGCCCTTGTTTGTTTAAATGTTTGAACACCCAGTCATGTTGGTAGCTCTTCAAAACTGTTGAAACAAAACCATCGACATCTTGATCTTCACTTTCAACAAAAACAATCCAGTGTTGAATGCTTGAGCAATGAATATATTTATACTGTTGAGTTTTCTGTACAGCAGTAAAGTGGCAACCGAGATAGCCAGCTGACCAAAATTCCTTTATAACAGGATCTTCAGGCTGAGTAATATGTTTTTCAGAAACATTGAACTGGAGATTCCTAAACAAGTTAACAACTGCAAATCCATCGGCCCCGTCTCTTCCAAATATTCGACCTTTCCAAAATACATCAACACATCGTCATTGAACTGCATCAAGAAACTAGAGGATTTTTTTCTCATGGGAATAGTGGGAACTATGATAAACTTGGCCATCTTTTATCATTCGTTGGGAAACAGCTACTCCTTGAGTATGGACAGGGAAATTTTTGGATTGGATGTTGGACCTCAGGAACTTGCTGTTGCAAAGGTGGAATAAATTTGATCCCATCATTAAGTTCTACAACGCTTTTAGAGATTGCTGGTTTTGAAAGTTTTTCATCAAGTTCTTTTACATTATTGTTATTGTGGATATTCTTGAGGATGTGCCCAGTTGAGTGCTGTGCCAATGCCAGTTTTTTAATTATTTGGTCTGGTATGCCTCTGGTACCATGAAACATCCGTTTTAGGTGAGCTAACATGGACTCAAACACGAACGCTGAGTGGAGAATTAGTGGGCAATGACTCCTTACTTGTTGAGGTAGATGGGTTAGGGTGTGAGAATTATAGATTGCTTCTGAGACATCAAAGAGACTTGGAAGTAGTCTTGTATAAATCTGAAGCATTGCTTCGGCTATGTTGATGTTTGTTTCAGTTATGTCGTCTTCACATAAGAGCCTGATACCAGTTACGAACAGACAATGATGGAACAATTCAGATGGCAAAAGTTGCTTCAGGAGTGGGAGCCCAACATGGAGAAACACAGTTTGCTTTTCACTTGCCTTCCATTTTCTAAATTCTTCAATTTGTCGGAGTTTTCTTTTGAAGTCATGTGGAAGGGAGGTAGACAGAAGTTTCTTGCTAAACGCTTTTTTGTTTCCCCATTACTTAGACTTGTAACGCCACTGGGGCAACTCCCACTTAACCACTTAGCAAGCATTCTGGTGTATTCCCCTTCAAGTACTTGATGCATGTAGTCCAGCAATAACATTTCAGGTATTTGTAGGATGTCATGCACAGGCGATGTGCCTTTAACACCATATATAGCTTCCCCACTTTGTTGTGCAAGATTGGCATGAAGTAAGATCTCATTGTGGTTCCTTCTAGGTGGAACATTTGGACAATATTCATACACCCTCTTATTCCCTGGACCAGGTAATCTCCTTCCTGCATGTAGGAAAATACTACAATCAAACTTTCCATTGTGAAGCTTACAGTTAATTGATGGTGCTTTTGCGACCAAATCTGCTGCTTGACCACCGATGACAAGTTTGAATATTGTTTGATTACCATCTAGTTCTAGCCAAAAGCTATCTTGAAGCGTTTTTACTTGCTCAACAAAATGGTTTTGAAACACTTTCATTTCTGGCTTCTTCATCCCATACCATAGTCCAGAAACTAAAATGTTCTTGAACGAATACCCTAAATGTGGAGGCATCTCTGCGATAAAACTCTGAATTGGCCACAAGGACATATTTTTTTATTTTAGAGCTGGAGCTCCATCAGTATGCCAATACAAGGAGATACAAAAACTTCCATCTGCCTTTGCAACTTGACTCTGCCTCCTATACACCTCACTATCCAATATGTCACTATACATACCCTCATTGTAGACATAATTGTCAACATACTTCTTCATGTGACTAAAGTTCTCTATTTGCAAGAAAAAAGAGTACCATAGGATTAGATGAAATTCAAATTTCCTTCATAGCATTCAGGTGACATAAATTACAACACATTCGAGTTGGATCCCTAGTTAAATACACAATTGTTGCGTTTATAGTACATTTTTCTGCAATGACCTAAAATGTGGAAAAGACACAAATGTATATTTATAAGGCAACACTATATTCTGATTTTGATAAGTCCCACGTTTTTACAACATTTCCTATGTGGCCTTTTAATTCTAAATTATTGCCATACTTCAATAATCCAATTACATTTATTGCAGCATGGCATATTTATAAGTAATAGCATAAAAAGAAGCGAATTAGCTATTAAAACGTCCCGCCCGATGAGGGTCGTTTAGTATAATTCCCTTGGGCGCCGCTCGATGAGGGTCATTTAGTAAAATTCCCAAGGGCCGAAGGCCCGAGGGAATTTTACTAAATGACCCGAAGGGCCGAGGGAATTGACCCGAGGGCCAAGGCCCGAGGGAATTTTACTAAATGACCCGAATCGAGTGGCACCCAAGGGAATTTTACTAAACGACCCTCATCGGGCGGGACTTTTCAATAGCTAATTCACTTCTTTTTATGCTATTACCTTATAATATCATGATTGCGGGTATTCCCGTTGTTCTCGCAGGGCCATTAAAAACCAATTAACAATAAATAATGGTATAAATTAAATGGTATAATTGTTTTCCATGTCTTTGTTTAGTTTTGGCG